AAGGAAGAAATGGAGTCATTGATGAGAGAAGATCCAGTTGGCATTAAAAGATGGATGACCAGGGAGCCTGGGTCACAATATGTCCCCAACCCCCCTCACATACCAAATGAGTCATCTACACAGAAGAATTCTTTTTCAGAACTTTTTGTTCACTTTCTAAAAGCAGAGACGTCTGAGCCTTTGGCAGCATCAAAAAGACCTCATCATGACAGGACTCCTCAGGCAGCAGGAAAGAAAACAGTGAAAATGGGGTCACCGAGTCTAAAAACTACCGTGGGATCCACACCCAAGGAAAGGGAGGGTTTAGCAATTGTATCCCTTGTTAGCCCACCCTGGCATGAAGCTGGTGGTCTGGAAATCTTTTCCATGATGTTGCTAATACCTTCCCCACCTACACACATTTGTTGGTGTCACCCAGCAAAAATACTGGAGCTGCCCTGAACATGTTTGCAGTTTTACTTTACTTTGTTTTATAACAATATTCCCAAAGCTTAAGAAAAGTTTTTATGAGCCACAGAGATTTTCACTCAATTTAAAGCAAATTGAGGGTGGTTACTTCTGACCAGCGTAGGCATTGGTGGGATGGGAGCCGTGGTCAAAAGATACTGCAAATATTGTTTGTGCTGCTGTAATTTTTTACAAAGAGCAGATATTTGTGCATACCTTGGGTAAGGAGAACAACAACTTGTGTTAATACTGAAAAATTATAAAATATACAAGGGCCCCCCCTCTTGTGTAAGAAATGAGATGAGCTGCATAAAAGTACTGGGTACATGTCATTTTAGAAATGGGCACTTGCACGGCCTGGCTAAGGCCTGCTCCTGTTCCCATTGACTGGGAAACCCCTCTATTGTTAACCTGTATTTGCTCAGACCTTCCATCCTCCCCCCTTTCCATTTTTTAAATAATCAAATGACACAAAACAACATCATCCTGTTAATGCCCAAGTACCCAGCTGATCCTCTAGCTCCCAAACCCTCTCCCCTGGTCTCTCTCTCCCTGCCTCAGCACAAAGACAAGACTGAATCTTGGGAGGAGGCTGAGACAGAGCTGGAGGCAGAAAAATACAGAGCTGGAGGCAGGAATGGACAAGCAACTATTGTTGGGGTTTGGGCAGAAATTAGGAGGGGTTGATTCTTAAAACCCATTTTAGCACCAAATATACAGCCCTATTCCCAACCCTGTTCTTCAAATCATTGCCCATAACTGAGGTCCTCTCTGCTCTCCCCCAGCCACATTCCCAAATGACTTGGCCTTTATCCTGCCATATCTAGCCTAGTCCTAGCCATCCCTGAATGTCCCTCAGGCGGGGACACTTGGACACATCAGCTCCATGCCTGACCCTTGCAGAGACAAAGCAGTGCAGACTGGGGAATGGTGTGGTGGTTGTGCATGGCCTATGCCCCTTGAAAGCTTTAGGGATCAGGAGAGCACACAGCTGTAACAAAGGAAGCCCAGGAGACAAGTCATTACCTCTGCCTAAACAAGAGCAGGAGGCAGCCATTGGGCCATTTTTCAATCTTCCTGGGGTAGCAGCCTCCTTCCTTGACTGTGCTGGGGCTGTGTGTTTCCCAGAAGTCTGTATGACTGTCTGTAGGGTAAATGAATTAATCAGGCTTTTTGCACCCCTGGCCTCTGTGGTGTTAATGCAGAAGGCACTTGGGAGCATGGGCAGCAGGCATGCATATCTGATTTTGGACACCTGTAGCATGGGTGTGCATGCATGAGTAAGTGTGCACACCTGCACCTAGAGCAGAGCAGGTGGATCAACTGAAATACACTGATGAGGGGAGCAGCAGGTGAGACAGGAGAGGTCTGCTGTGCTATGTGGATGTTATCTCCCTGGCTGGGGATCGAACTCATGTTGTAGTGGCTGGCGATAGCTTGATAGTGCTGTGTCTTTAACCCCTGTGCCGCCAGGGAGGCCCTTGCTCCTAATATTAATGTTTGCAGAGGTTTTAAGCTCTAGTTTCTCTTTTGTCAGAGAAGGCAAATTTTTTAAAAATAAATTTTATTTTTATATTCCCCATACAATTGTGACCCCCTTATTTTGACCCCAATCCCTCCCCTCCCCGTTCCCCACCCTCCATAGAGTGTCCCTGGTTCATAGTTTTTGTTGATTTTGATTTTCACTTTCTTATAGTTATTTATTTTCCTGGTCCCTTATTTAAGTTTTCTAGATTCTGCTATGAGTGAGACCATCCGGTATTTTTCTTTTTCTTTCTGGCTTATTTCGCTGAGTGAGCATGATCCCTTCCAGCGCCATCCATGTTACTGAAAATTGCATGTGTTTATCTTTTTTGAATGCTGAGTAAGATTCCATGGTGTATATGTACCACATCTTGATCCAGTCATCTATTTTTGGGCATTTGGGTTGTTTCCAAAGCTTAGCTATTGTAAACAGTGCTGCTATAAACATAGGGGTGCAGGTGCTCTTTGGAATTGATGTTTCTTTGGTAAATTGATGTCCCTTGGGTAAATACCTAGGAGTGGAATTGCTGGATCATATGGAAGCTCTATGTTTAGTAGGTCCAGAAATCTCCACAGCTCTCCATAGTGGTTGGACCAGTTTGCACTCCCACCAACAGTGCAGGAGAGTTCCTTTTTCTCCACATCCTCGCCAACATTTGTTGTTGCTAGTTTTTTAAATATGTGCCATTCTCACTGGTGTAAGATGGTATCTCATGGTAGTTTTGATTTGCATTTCCCTGATTACAAGTGATGTTGAACATTTTTTCATATGCATGTTGGCCATTTGCATTTCCTCTTCAGAGAAGTTTCTTTTTAGCTCTTTTTTTTAACTTTTTTTTTTTAAGATTTATTTATACAAGCACTGGGTACAGTCAGAAGCACGGGAGGGTGAGAGAATTCACCAGAGCTAGAGGGGAGGGCAGAGCAGGCAGACTGACGAAGTACACTGCTGAGGGGAGCAGCGGGCGGCAGGAGAGGTCTGTGCGCCATCTGGGACCCTCGCTTGGTGGCCGGGAATCGAACTGGTACTGCAGAGGCTGCGGGCAGCTTCGCAACCCAGCGCTCAACTGCTGCGCCACTGGGGAGGCCCTCTTTTTAGCTCTTCTGTCCATTTTTTGACAGGATTATTTTCTTTGTTATTGTTGAGTCTCATCAGCTCTTTGCAGATTTTGTGATCAGTCCTTTATCATTAGTGTTGTGTGGAAAAATGTTCTCCCAGTCGGTGGGGTTTCTCTTTGTTTTTGTTATTGTCTCTTTTGCTATGCAGAAGCTCTTTGATATAGTCCCAGCTGTTTATCTTTGAGAGAAGGCAAATTAACTGACTGTGACCTTTATATCCTGGGACATTGTTCACAACTACCCTAGTATAGTCACACAGCCTTAAATGACTAGATTTAACATTTCCAGACTCTACTCCCATGTCATAAAGTTCCAGTTCCTTGACCAGGAGCTTCAATGCAATGAGCTGGCCCTGCCTGCAGAAAGTCCTTGGAGAGGACTTCATTGAAAAAGCTGACCGAAGTTCTTGGAATCACCAGCTTTTACCTTTTTTATTATTTTTAAAGATTTATTTGTTTGTGCATACAAGAGCTGGGGTACAGGCCAGAGATGTGGGGGGTGAGACAGAGTGGGGAACAGAACAGTGGGGAACAGGAACAGAACAGAACAGAACAGTGTATTTCCACTGAAATACACTGCTGAGGGGAACAGTGGCCTAGACAGAAGAGGTCTGCTGCACCACGTGGCTTAGCTCCCTGGCCAGCTGGGGATTTAACTTGTGCTGTGCTGCAATGGCTGTGGATAGCTTCATAGTGCTGTGTCTTAACCCCTTGCGCCACCAGGGTGTCCTCACCAGCTTTTCTGAATCAAAGTCTCAGCAAAGAAAACAAGTGTTCTCTGCTCATCAAACAACAGATGAATCAACACATCTGCTCCACCTTTTTTTTCCAGTAAAATTCAGCCTCAACATTCAGACCTATAGGATCAATACCTTGTACTACTTGCTGTTAACACTTATTACCTACTAATACCCATAGAATGTGTACACTGCCAAGCTAGTAGACTATGCTTGCTCACTTGTTTCCTTTATCCTCTTCAGAGGAACACTCAAAGAAAGTGGTGTGTTTCATCACCGCTTCTCCTGGAAAAACTCCCCTAATCACTGCCTTCCCTCACTGTCATTTCTACTTTGGGTAATAAGTGCCTGTTACTCCATTGGATACTAAGCAAGCATTTGTTATCTGATTTTGCCCCAAGATATGTGTACTGGATTTTGGTTATAGTTTATTTATTTTGGGGTGTTATGAGTTTCAATGAGAATTGAATATACCTGTTCCCTCTTCCCAACACTTGATAATGAAATGAAATATACAAACATGCTTTTCAAAGTTTGTCCAGAAAATGTTTTATAATAAATCCAGTACAAAATGTCTGTAATGAACATCTTGAATATAAATTTTGCTTGTTTTGAACTCTACAAAGATGTCCTGCTTTTTTCATGAATACTGTTTCTAAAATTGAGTCACTGATGTAACTGGTAGCTCTAGCTCATTATCTTCACTGCGACATAATTTCCTATTGCATTAGTTTTGCACTCATTCCTTCCTTCAATACATTTTAAAGGTGATTGTGTGTGCAAAGCTCTTAACTTACTTCTTAGCACTCAATAAACTATTTGTGCAATAGTTGAGAGTGACACCTGACAGTAACACCTGATACTTAGTTTCCTCCCATTGGATTCTTTGCCTTTCGCCCAGTACTGAAGATACAGGTCGCTCTTCAGCCCTGGGTTAGTTACAGTTATAAAATTTTGGATGCAACTGTCACAAACGGTGGCCTCTGGACACTATCAAGACTACAACTCCCAGAAAGCACTGGGATGCCGGTTGCGTCCTTGTCAGTTACCTTTCCTTCCGGGTTGTGAAGGCGGGGCCAATAGGGTTCTCCAATGAGCGTCTCCACAGGATGAGGGGGCGGGAAAATTGCCCAATGAACGTCTGGGCCGAGGAGCCAATAAGCGGGAAGGTTTCTGGGGCAGCGTCGTGGGCGGCGTCACTGAGCCGCGCCAGCTGTGCCGGGTGGAGCTCAGCCCCTCTCTGCAGCCGTCTCGGAGCTTCCTACCTCACCCGCGGCCGTCGACCTGGCTTCCATGTGCCCGGTGGGCGCATGGAACCTCCACGCCCATGGCCACTAGCCTGAGGAGTTCTTCCTACTCCTCGCCTTCCTGCTCGCCCGACACTGACGACGAGGGCGTGCGCGGTACTTGCGAAGATGCTTCAATCTGCGAGAGGTGCTGCTGGGCGCGCGGCTAGGGGCTGCTTCCCCGGGGCGGGGGCGCACGCGGGAGGCGGGCCAGGGCGGGGGGATTCCGCTTGTCCCCCCAGAGGCAGCAGAGATAGGGAAGAGTATAGACTACTCGAGGAACTGAAAGAATACCCTCAAAGCTGGTTGAGGGGTAGAGGTTGTGGGGTGGGGAAAACAAAAGTTTTGGGTTAAGGCTTGCACTCTTGTAGGTTCTTGGAGACCCACCTTCGTGATTCAGACCATGGACTCTAGATTCAGATTCTGTCAAACGTATTCTAGCTCAGCCACTTACTACCAGTGTGAAGGGTGATGATAGTACGATCCATTTCACAGGTAGTTGTAAAGATTAAGCAATTTCCATGATAGTAAAGCACTTAAGGCTGTGCTTGGCATGTAGTATGTGTTAGTGATTGATTGCATAAATAGATGAATATGAAAGTATAAAAGGTTTGGAATAGTCCCTGGTGACATTTGGTGGATTATACCTAACTTTATATCTTCTCCAGCTTTCAGTTATTACTGACCACATGATAGCACTGTTGAATTAGACATAATTCTTCTCTAAAGAATCTAGACAGAATAACATTAGTACAAAAAACTTTTTGAGCTTCAATTATGTATTTATAGCACTTCAGTGCTCTAGTGTATATAGATTTACTCACAACTGGAATTTGGTTTGGGTTACCTGATATGTCTCAGGATCAGAGGGGTTGAGATTTGTGTCTTCTCTGCTGTTTGTCCCCTCCACCCCCTATTTGAGAGCCACAGGCCCAGCTGGAGCACCCTCTCCTCTACTGTTTTTTCCCAGCTCCTGGTTATTCCCCTAATTCATGGAAGACTTGGGCTTCTGGCCTACAGCTTCTTCTCTACCTCAGTTCATGCCAGCATCCTAGTTGACTTCAATGTGTGTGTGCAGGACACACTGTCCAGGGGGGCATGGATTTTCCTGAGCACCTCATGTGCAGTGATTATTCTGACCCACCTCTGGGACTCCACCAATCTTGTGTGACACCCTGGGCTGTGCCTGGCCTCCAGCTGCATCTCTCCTTCCAGCATGTTGTCATGTCTGCTGTGTCCTCCGCGTGTTTCCCGCAGATTGAATCTAGAGGTCATAGTCTATCATTCAGCAATTTTCTTGGCAATGTCTTTGTCTCCCTTGCCCTTACCCTAGTAAGCCCCAAACCCTGCCTGAACCGAATATTCATTTTTGCCTACAATACCAGAGGCAGGGAAGCTTGGTACTGCTGTCAGTTCATGTCAACCAATCTCATCTGTGCCCTAAACAGACTCATGTGATTCTCTGGTAAGCTCACTTCCCACTCTCTAGAATACTTAAATCAGGCATTTTCCACTTTCCTCTAACTTCTGATTGCCACTACCCTGTCATTCTCAAGATAACATGGGTGATGTTATGGGTATTGCTTACACAGACTATGAAAGTCTTCCAAGCGGAACTCCATTAACTTTTTGCAAAAAACTTATCTTTTCCTACTGTTACAATTGTCAATGTTCTCTTGCAAAGCCGACCAGAAGCACACCTGTAATCAAACAAGTTGGATTTATTTATTTATTTATTTATTTTTCCTTTTTTTAAAGATTTATTTATGTATACACACAAGAGCTGGGGTACAGGCCAGAGGCACGGGAGGGTAAGAGATTTCACTAGACACAGAGCAGGGAGCAGAACGGCCAAAAGCACTGCTGAGGGGAGCAGCAGGCGAGACAGGAGAGGTCTGCCGTGCCATGTGGGTATCTCCCTGGCCGGCCAGGAATCAAACCCACACTGCAGAGGCTGTGGACAGCATCACAGCGCCATGCTCAACCCATTGCACCACTGGGGAGGCCCAAACAAGTTGGATTTAATTACTTGTTGCAAGGAGGTACTAACTGCATGGGAAACTCTGGGGGCTTTCAGTAAGAGGGTGTTAGAAAGGACTTAGGATTTGGGTTTGCTTGGATAATTTGGGGAGGTTTCAAGGCGAGGAAGCAGGAATTTGCTGTGAATTTGGTGCTAACAGGCAGTGGAGACAAATCTATGATGGGGTAGCTCAATCAATCTTTTCTAGAAGGAGGTGAGAATAGAGTGAGACTAAGGCTGTTCTTTGTAAGGAAGCCACCATCTTTCGTATCAGTCCAGAGAGAGGGATGGTAGGTTGTGGGTGGCTTGATGGCTGAGTTTTGTGTGTTTATACCAGGTTTTGAAGGGGTCTTGTTTTGTCTCACTTCATCACCGTTGCAGTGTGACCTGGTGTTCTTTGGGATTGTCTAATAGGAGACAAGGTGGCCTTGCTGTGCGTGCCAGGCCAGCTCCCAACCACAGTGAAAACTGACTCAAAGTCCCAGGCCAGCTCTCAGATGTTAGCGCTGCTTTCTTTCACAGGGGAGGAGATGAGTCTAAAAAGATAAATAGGTGTTTGTTTATCTTAAATAGCTTGAGCTAAAGAGCATGGAGATGGAAGCACAGTGTGGTCTTAGGGTAGCTTTGATATGGAGCGTGGTTGGGGGGGGGTGGAGGAGGGGGAAGGGTGGGCAGGTGTAACAAGAGAAGATTCCGAAGAGGAGATCAGGGAAGGAATTGTGAAAGGTCCTGAGGCCTGTGGGAGGTCTCCACGGGCTCTAAGTGGAGAAGTGACATGATCTGGGCTAGTGCTTAGGAAAATCCCTGGCAGCTGGGTGGGAGGTGGCTTGTGTGGAGATGTGTGGTAATGAAGGGGAGGTCTGTCCCCTTCCCCACGGACATGCCCTAGCTCGGGCCTCCTCACTCACTGGTCTAGTGCATCACACCCTTGTTGTCCCCCAGCTTCTAGTCTTGCTGCCCTCCAGCCAGGTGTTGATGCTATGGCCAGGGTGATGTTTCAGAATTACCAACCTTAACCTGTTACCTTGCTACTTAAAGCCTTTGATTCCCCATCAGCTGCTAGGTGAAAATCTACATTGGGTGACACCCTTCACCTTTCACGAGATGACCATGCTGCTCTGAACACCCACTGCTGCCTGGAAGTCTCCATCTGGATAGCTCAGAATTATCTCAAATTCATTGTTTCCAAGCCAGTAGGTCCAGATCACCTCTATCACTCTATTCTTTCTCCTCCTTGCCTAACCCCCCTGGTGCCATTGTTTAATTCTTAGTTGAAAAGGTGGGATTCATCTTGGAACGCCCTTTCACTCATTCCCTTATGTTCTGTGTCACCCAGACCTGTTGTTTTTATCTAAATATTTCTGGAATCTGCCTCCTTTGCTCTAACTCTGTTTCTGCTGTCTCAACCCAAGCTCAGGTCATCTGTGGCCCTGGTCTGCAAGCTGAACCCCCCGCAGTGCTCCCCCACATCCACATGCCACACTGAAGCCCAAGGTTTGTAAAAAGTGCATTTGAACATGTCATTCCTTGGTTTAATGGCTTCATGCTATTTGAAAAAGACCACAAAGTCCCTTATGTGGTCTGCTGGGCCCTGCCTGCTCTGCCCCACTCCTTCAGCCTCCCACTTCTGCGCCTCCCCTCTCCCCTGTGGGATCCTTTCAGTTCTTCAAATGTGGTTTGTTCCCCACCAGGCTGGGCATGCTGTCCCCTCGGCTGGAAGTGTTCTCCCGCCCTCCTATGCCCAGTTCTTCAGGCCACCTCTTAGACCAGTGCACTCACTCACATTCCTCCTGGTGTGCCTTTTCAGCTCCTAGAGCCAAGTTGTAGAGTCCATACAGAAGTGACCAAGACAAACGTGGTGCTCTGTTGGAGCCTTTATTCCAGTGGAGGAAGCAGCCAGCACACTGCCTGGATTGTGAGCAGGTGGAGAGGCAGGGGGTGTGCTGGAAGGACGTGTGATTTGAAGTGGACTGTCAGGGCAGGCCCTTTCTGAGAAGGTCACTGCCAAGAAAAGACTTAGAGGCGGGTGTGGGAGTGAGCCGAGTGGATATCTGGGGAAGGCACGTTCAGGCAGAGGGAAAAGAGACCCACCTGGGACCTGACCATCCCTGCATCTGTTGTAAACTGTTGAGTCTGTTGTCTGTGTTGTTGTTGATGGTGATTTTAGTTTGACTCATTGGGGTTTCCACTAATATTCTGGATAGGAATCCTTTGTCGGATAGATTATAATTGTACATTTGTAAATATACACACTTGTAAAGGAAAATGAAATTTTGCAATATTATTTATAATAGCATCATAAAGCAAACTAGGGATAAATTAGCAGAAGACATGAGGCACCTTTGCACAGAAAACTGTGAAGCCTGTAGGAAGGAAATTAAGACTTCAGTAAGTGGAGGATACTATGTTCATACATTAGAAGACTGATGTTAAGGTTTAGATCCTCCCCACATTGATTCAGTGAAATTCCAATAAAACCCTAGCCATCCCTTCATACAGCAGGGGAAGGGACGAGGGGTCAAAACAGGCAGGAATAGCACAGGGACTTGGTGACGGATCATGGGCACTGTGGTGGTGGGACAACTATGGGGTCCACACTGGAGGGGAGAAATCACATACTGTCCAAAAATAAACAGTGATGTGAGAAAAATAAAAATGCTATTTAAAAAAAATCCCCCTAGGGCCTCCCCGGTGGCGCAGCGGTTGAGCGCTGGGTTGCGAAGCTGCCCGCGACCTCTGCGGTGCCGGTTCGATCCCCGGCTGCTCCCCGGCCACCGGAGGAGGGTCCCACATGGCGCGCAGACCTCTCCTGCCGCCCGCTGCTCCCCTCAGCAGTGTACTTCGGTCCTTCTGCCTGCTCTGCTCCCCGCTCTGGCTCTGGTGAATTCTCTCACCCTCCCCCGCTTCTGACTGTACCCAGTGCATGTATAAACAAAACAAACAAACAAATAAATAAATAAAACATGCCTCTATTAAAAAAATAAATAAATAAAAATAAAAGAAATCCCCCTAGTCTTCTCTTTCTGAAGAAATTAACAAATTAACAAATTGATTCTAAAAGGTCTATGCAAACACAAAGGATCTAGAATAGCCAAAAAAATCTTCAAAACGATGAAGCTGCAGAACTTTCACTGTTTCCTACTACTTAATTTTTTTTTTTAAAGATTTATTTATTTATGCATACAAGAGCTGGGGTATAGGCCAGAGGTGTTGGGGGGGTGAGAGGATTCACCAGAGACAGAGCAGGGAACAGAACAGGCAGACTGACTGAAATACACTGCTGAGGGGAGCAGCGGGCGAGACAGGAGAGGTCTGCTGCGCCATGTGGGTTTCTCCCTGGCTGGCCCGGGGATCGAACTCCTGTTGCAGAGGCTGAGGATTGCTCCATAGTGCGGTGCTTAACCCCTTGCGCCACCAGGGAGGCCCCCTACTACTTAATTTTAAGGCTTACTTTATTTTTTTAAAGATTTATTTTATTTATGCATACAAGAGCTGGGATACAGGCCAGAGGCATGGGAAGGTGAGAGGATTCACCAGAGACACAGCGGGGAGCAGAACAGGCAGACGGACCGAAATACACTGCTAAGGGGAGTAGCGGGCGAGACAGGAGAGGTCTGCCACACCATGTGGGAATCTCCCTGGCCATCCAGGAATCGAACCCGTGCTGCAGAGGCTGCAGACAGCTTCATAGCACTGCACTCAACCCACTGTGCCACTGGGGAGGCCCTTAAGGCTTACTTTAAACAGTAAGAAAAAACAGTGTGGTCTTGGCATAACGATAAATCAGTGAAACAGAATAGAGCATCCCTAGTAGACTCACACAAGTTATTTTGGAGGATTTTTGCCCAAAGTGCCAAGTCAGTTCACTGGGGGAAAGGAAAGCCTATTAATCAATAATCTGGCTCAACTTAATATTCGAGTGGAAAAAAAAATGAACCTTGACCTCTACCTCATTCCTCTGGGATGGGTCATAAACCTACGTATTAAAGGTAGGGCTATAACGCTTCTGTATGAAAACATAGGTGAATACCTTGGCCACCTGGAGCAGGCAGACACTGCATATACAAGGTAATTACGTGTTGGATGAAGCCAGAGGCAATACCAGTAGTCTCTTTTGGGAGGGAACTGTAGTTAGATATTGAGGCCTGGTTTTTTTGCTGATTCCACCCTTACCACTTTGTGGATGGACTTAGAAGGGAAATCAGTCCAAACTCTTTAGGGGCAGATTCTGTTGCTCTTGAGGCTTTCCTTCCTATTTTCTATTTGTAAACCAAGAATAAAACCAATAGAAAAGAGAAACTGAAAAAAAAAAAAAATGAAGCTGAGAGGGTAACATATAAAAACAGGGCATGGGGCCTCCCAGTAGCGCACGGGTTGAGCACAGCACTGTGAAGCTGTCCACAACCTCTGCAGCACGGGTTCAATTTTGGCCAGCCAGGGAGATACCCACATGGCATGGCAGACCTCTCCTGTCTCGCCCACTGCTCCCCTCAGCAGTGCTTTTGGTCTGTCTGCCTGTTCTGCTCCCCACTCTGTCTCTGGTGAATCCTCTCACTCTCCCGTGCCGCTGGCCTATACCCCAGCTATTGTGTAAATAAAAAATAAATCTTTAAAAAAAATAAAAATAGGGCAGCACAGTACTGTAAAGATCACAAGCAGTATGCAGTTAACAATTCCGAACTTGCGAACTGATGCTGAACGTCCAGTCAATTTCTTTTGCAGTTGCTCCTACACACACACCACTGGAGCTACTGAGTGCTGGAGGAGAGTGTAGCTCCACGTAGGAGTGGGTTTGAAAACCAGTGGACTTCAGCCCCTGTGAAGCGCCACTGCTTGGGGAAAGGACCCTCACCTTTGTGAAGCGGTGGCTTCCTCATGGCTTCCTCATTGGGTGGATAGGAGAGTCTTTTGTATTCCTGTTTGACAAGCATTTGACTGGCAGGAAGTTAAGCCCTGGTGAGGCGGCAGCCTTGCTCCTCCTGGCTGGAAGAGCAAGGAGCAGCCCTGCAGGAATCCCACATTGAAATGCCTGTTGGAGGGCCTTTCACTCCTTTGAGATGAGGGGGCCCATTGTTGCTCTTGACACTTGTGTAAATAGGACAAAGGCAGCAAGTGTTTCTCCAGTGAATGGGGAGGTGATTGGTGCTGGTTAGTGTTTCCCATGGGAGGGATGCAAGCGAACTTCAGGCAGTATGCAGATGTTTTAAATTTTAATAGTTAGGTCTTACTACAGTGTGCGTTAGAAGAAAATATTAGGTAGCACATAAGTTGTGAGTATTAAAAACAGAGTTGAAAAGATGTTAATTAGAACAGGTGGTGTGCGCACGTCAAGTCTATTGTGAAGACAGTTGTGGATTGAATGAAGACTGGGACATCTTGAAGATGCAAGTTTGAGAGCTTCGATTATTTCAGTCTGGGTTTTAACCAGGAAATCAGGATGTACAAACAGAAGGGATGCTCTCTGGGTTTTGGAAATGGAAGCTTGTGGTGGAAAGAGGCAGCAGAACTTGCGGCAGGCCACCACGATGCCGAAGTAGCCACTGCCAACGCTTCACCTGCGCTGCCCTGGCAATGGGGCGTGTTTTCACTCTGGCAGTGTGGGGAACAGCCTGTCTGGACAGTATTGTAGCCTGCTTTGTTCTCCTGACACTTTAACACCAGACTGCATGCTTTTGTAGAAAAGTATTTGCTTATTCTTGATTCTTTCCTTAAGGTGAAATCCTGGAATGCACTTGTTTGGTCATGCGCATGCAAGTTCTTCTGGCTTTTTATAATTGTTGCCTCAGTGCCAGACTGTGCCATTTGACAGTTCTGCCCTTGTCCCCATCCCTCTTCAAAGCTGGGTTCTATTAAAAATAGTTTAGGGCCTCCCTGGTGGCACAGCGGTTGAGCGCTGGGTTGCAAAGCTGCCCGCAGCCTCTGCAGCACTGGTTCGATCCCCGGCTGCTCCCCAGCCAATAGAGGAGGGTCCCGCATGGCGCGCAGACCTCTCCTGCCGCCCGCTGCTCCCCTCAGCAGCGTATTTTGGTCCTTCTGCCTGCTCTGCTCCCCGCTCTGGCTCTGGTGAATTTTCTCACCCTCCTGCGCTTCTGACTGTGCCCAGTGCTTGTATAAATAAATAAATCTTTAAAAATAAATACATAAATAAATAATAAAAATAGTTTAGTTGCCAGTTTGATGGAGGGAGTGCTGCCTTTTTCCCGGTTTTGGATTGTGGATGAGACTGAGCTTTTTGTATGTACATCAGTCAGATCTGTTTCTTTTGTGAGTTGCCCATTTTTGGCCTTTGTCTCCTTTCTCCTGCTGAGATAGGTTTTCGTTCTTATTCACTTATGAGAGCCCTTTACATTGTAAAGATACTACTATTTTGTGACAGGTCACAGATATTTTTGCTAGTTGCTTTCACACTGGTTTATGCTTCCCATACTGACTGACTGTTCTTCATCCTATGAGGGCAGATCTGTCTTGGGTAGATTCAGGAGACCCGTGTTCCTGCGCTTTAACCTTCTTTGATATCAGGTGAGTTATTTAACTTCATGTATCCTGGGTCACTGTTTTGTTGGAATTGTCATTACCTTTGCAAGACATGGTCCTTATTCCTGGTGCCAGGCCAGACAGCTGCAGACCCCTCTGTTTTATTGCACACACCATTTAAGGACCATCTGACAAAGGAGCGCAAATCCTGATTGCTGTTTGAAATTACATGCGTGGATACCTAATGATGAGATCAGAAAAGAACCAGTTTCAAAACTTAGAGTGAGGTTCAGCAGTTTGGAAGACATTCTCTCAGAAATGCCCCATTGCCAATGACCTTGACGACATCAAGATATGTGTGTGTGTGTGTGTGTGTGTGTGTAAACCACAGACATCCTGAAAGTGAAGATATAACTGGCTTGTTTGAATCCTCTTTTCCTTTTTATTTGTGTACAAGAGATATATACGAAGACAGTCTGTTGAAATAAGCCCAGATGAGCTTTTTTGGTAGTCTTTATGTTAAAATTCTAAGCAATAAGAAAAACATTAAGTATACTAACTGGCAGTGTGTCTTTTTTCTTTTTTCATTCTTACAATTGCTGGTGTTTTAGATATAATGAAATAAGGCATATGGCTAAGTGTAGAACATTTTAAAACATAAATTTAAAAAAAACACCAAAAAACCAGAAATCTCAGATGAACATTGTTGCATTTTGGTTCCAGTCCCCCAGCACTGCTGTGTCAGCTGCCAGTCGCTAAACATTCATTCCACAATGCACATTACTGAAAAGGCTCAGAAGAGGAGAAAGGAAGGTTCTTGCTGGCAACATTAGCCCTCACTGGTACTCTGTCCACCTGCCTCTCAGCATTATTTCTAGAATTTTCCTACAAATAGCAGAAAAGTGTGCCTGTCCAGACTCTATTGGACAGGGATGAACTCTGGAAATCGGATAAAGATACACCCAAGATAACAGGGTGGGGTACCCAAAAAAATTAAACGATAAAACTAAGCAAAAATTTGACAGAAATGAAACAGTAAAAAGCAAATTTAGAAAACTCAAGAGGAAGTAAAAGTATTTTCATACACACAGAAAATGAAGTGTGCCACATGCTCAGTCAACCAAACTCTTCCTTTTACTTAACTGTTTAAAAAGCAAGAACTGTGGGGGAAAAAAATCACACTTCCATGAAGTCATGCTGGAATAAACAGTAAATCGGTACCGCACAGCTCACCACCCTGAAGACCTTGACCTGTCTGCTCCAGATAATACACCGCATGACAATCACCTGGAGCAGCTCGCAAACCCGCAAATCACTCCCCTCCCAACAGCCTGGTCCTCTCCAAACTCTGGCCTATTCTGTCATTTCATGAAGTTTTCTGTCCAGCGTTAAAACGGCACCAAAGAAACAGCGTAGTCTGTTTTCCCAAATCAAAAGTGAGCAAGGCTTTTCTTAAAACAAGCTGTTTTTCTTTCTTCGCCACAAGGCGTCTCCATAATCCTTTCCTCCCAATTCCAAATTTCTAAATGTCAGGAACTTGCAGCAGTCCAGGGACAGTCCTGCTTTTGAGAGCACCACCTCCACCTTCCCTCGCGGCGTCCGGCCCTCCCGGAGCAGCCCCGGCGGGTGTTCACAGCCCCTCACCGCCACAGCCAGCAGGGACTTGCAAGTGAGGGGCTGCCCCCGGCAGGGCCCCCCGGGAAGGGCGCGAAGGCCGCCGCCCCCCCCCAACCCCCGCCAGCGCCCCGCGCAGCCTCGGGCTCCAGATGCCGGAGTTCGAGTCCAGGGCGCAGCGCGGCCCGGCCGGGTCCGAGGGCGGAAAGGGTCGGTCGCGTCCAGGGCCCGGAGGACGATGCCGGACGCGGCAGAGGCTTCGTGGGGGGCCCCGCGCGGGGGGCGCGGAAGGAGGCGCGGCCCGGCCGGCGGGTCTCCGGCGGCCCCGGCGCGGCGCGGCCCGGCCCCAGATCCCGGGCCCAGCCGGATCCGCTGGGCCCGGGAGGCGTGTCCCGCCGCCCGCCCGCCCGCCGCGTACTCGCCTGCCCACGGTCTGGTTGGCCAGCTGCTTCCTGCGGTTGAACTGCTTCTTCATGGCGGCGGCGGCGCCCGCGGGCTCGGGCCAGGCGGACGGGCTCGGCCTGGCGGCTCCTACATCGCCTCCCGGCCCAGGCGGCGGCGGCTCCCGGGCGGCGGCTCCGCCCTCGCCGCGTCACTTCCAGCGGCGCCGCCCCGCGCCGACCTGAGCTAAGGCGCCGCCCGCGGGCGCCGTCGGGGAGACCCGGCCCGGCGCGCCCCTCGGGGCCGGGGCCTGCGCGCCTCGGGCGGGGCTGACCGGTCCCCGCTGCGGCCCGGCTGGCTCCCGGCGGGGCTCGCGCGCTCGCGGCCGCAGCGGACACAAAGGGCCGGGGGCGCCGGCGCGGGCGGGGAGGGGAGGCCCTGTCGGGCCCGGGGTGCCGGGAATCTTTGGAGGATGAAGGCTCCAGGCGTCCTGGGGGGCGTGTGCGTTTTACCCCAACCCCCCAAAAAAGTTGCGTGAAAACCCCCAGTTGCAGACCGGGTGTTGCGGGCGCCGGCACTGGCTGCAAGACTCACAGGCGGGCGCGTGCGCCTGTTCATCACCCGCGCCCCAAGGCTTCCAGGTCAGGGTGTGTTGCGGGAGGCCGCCGTCGAGGGGGCAGGGGTCGGGCGGCACCTGGGAAAGTCCCAGAAGCTACGGGAGAAGAGGCCCAAGTTAGGGCATGGTGGGGTTGAGCCAAGCCGCCTCCAACAACCCCCCCCCACCCTTTTCCTGCCCCACACCCCCCCCCCCACGTGCCCCTTGTGACGTTCCAGCCAGACCTCAGCGTTTCCAGGCCGCCTGGCATTGTTCCCTCAGCAGCGCCATACTACTTAGCCCTGTGCTTGCAGCCCTTCGGGACGTGCGGCGGGGTAGTCCGACTGTGCCCGCAGGCTTTTTGTTGAGCCCTTCAGGTCAGTTCAATCACCCGCAGCGTTTGATAGAGTCGCACCTAGTTAGGGAGCCTCGGGTCTCACAATCACCATTACCCGGACAACTGGGTAATGGTGTACTAATCTTCACTGTATCCATCTTGAACATAGCAAATGATGTGCTGAAAGGCACAGGTAGATTGGAGAAAACTAATTTCATCAGGAAGGAGATCAAAGCCATTCAGGCATTGCGAAGATTAGAAAAACCAGAGACCTAAAAAAAATCTCTATAGTGATATGGAAGAGTAAAACATCAGACCTTCTCACACACTACAAACTGTGAGTTATAGACTCACAGTTTTCTGTTGAAATTTAACTACAACAGACACCCAACACTTCACAAGCAAGACAGCACAGCTAGAAGAGCAATTAATTGCAGAAGCTGTAGCTACTCCAAGTCGGTTCTGGAGATCGCCTTGCATTGAAGTTAGTTCAAAGTGAATTGAATGTTAATTGCTTGGATTTAACCATGCAGAAGCTTGAGGATGAAACTGATACTTTAGAACATCAGTTAAATCAGTCGCAAAAATATAATTTAGACACTCAGCAAGACCTTAACCATAAAGAACAAAGTAAACCAAATGAAGAACTTTGTGAAGCCAGGAATGACTTAAGTTCTCTCTTAATCAAAACACTAATAATAATCATCTTGAGGATGACATACATAAAGAAAGGGAAGTGGAAGATAGAAACTTAAAGCAAATAATTTCAAAACTGGAACAAGTAAATAACAGTTCACAAGCCGTTTTGGCTTTCAAAATGACATGTGAAAAGTTGTTTTCGGCATATAAAGATATGAGACTTATGTTGGAAAAGGTGATAGTTTGGAACCATCAAGATTCTTTGGGGAAAAGTACCACTGTGGGACTTTTCCAGATGAGAAAAGTGCAATGGGAGACGAATCTGCGAGAAGCTGAAAAGGGGCTGTCAGAAGTTATGAAAATAAGTGAGCAAACCATTCAAGAATTGTCAAGTAACTGTAACTTGGATAGCTTTCCCTTATGGCAGGAGCAGGAAGGTTTAATTAGAATCAAAAAAAAAAAAAAAAAAAAAAGACCTGGAAATAGCAGAACTCAAAAAGAATATGGAGAGGATAGAAGCTGACCAGAAAACAACTAAGGCCATTTTGTCATCTCACTTAAAAGAATGGAAGCAACTGGTACCACTTATTAAAGACATCAGTACATCACTGAAAGACAAAGAGACTCTGAAAGAAGATCTAGAGCAACTGGAGGGACAGAGTCCAGTTGCACCTGTGGTTGAACCCAAAATACCAGACACGATGACAGAACTCCAATCTGAGATACATCAACTGAACATAAGCAAGGACAATAATCTCGAAGAAGACATCAAACCTCATCCAAAGATAACTGAGGACCAAAGCCAGAAAATTATGCAACTACTTCCACCTTTACGAGAGCAGGAGGAGGAAATGGATGATCTCACATACCAACGTGAGCAAATGAATATGGCAAATACCCAGCTCATTTTAGCTGGAGATAAGGAAATTAAGAATTTGAGGAAAACTCCAGAACAAATAAAAACATATTCTCCTAAAGAAAACCAGGACATTCAAACAGAAAATTCTGTTAATTTGGAAAATGAAAGGAAGACTATGATTTCTCTCAAACCAAACCTGAAAGATTAATCAAAAAGCTTGAGATAGAAGAGCTCACTGGCCAGACTACCTCCGATATGGATCAACCATCCAAAGACGAGATTGATAGACCAGCTAAAATTATTGAGCAGAAGTACTTGGAAATTCAAGATCTTTACCATAAAATAACTTCCATTACCCACAGGCAGGTTGTTGGGGACCGCAGCAGCAGCAAGCTTATGGTTTGGTAAGAGAACAACAAGTGCTGGCTGTTTCAAATGAGAAGACTAGGGAAAATAACAATCTCAAAGGAGATTATCACAACATGATGGCTATCGGTATTGCTAAAGAAGCAGAGAACTTAAGAATTCCAGATGAAGATAATAAACTGTCCACTGGATTTGAAAGTCATTTTCAAGACCTAGAAGAGGAAGCTGTGAGCAACCTGTTAGACGTAAACGAAGAAAAGGAAATCGATGCATTAAGTCAGAAATGTCAAGCATCACTGACACTTTTTCAAATATCCAGCACTGGGAATAAGGTTGTTGGTGTCAATTCTAATCAGTTGGAGGCACTTCTACAGGAACATCATCAATTAAAGCAGCAAGTTAGGATACTAAAAGAGTGGAAACAGCAAGTAATGATTCTGGTGAAAAATATGCACAGAGACTCAGCTCACTGTGAAGAAAAACTGCAGCTTCAGATGCAAATCTTGGTTTATGGAGACAATAATTCTAAACTACTGATGAACTATGTTGACCTGTTACAATATTGTAAAAGGGATGAAATGAAATTTAAGAGTATGGAGCAGGAGTTAACACAAATCCAACCGGTTATAGGGCAGCTTTGTAATGTCAAGGATCTTTTGTTAGTTAAAATTGACCTCCTTATGACACAGCCCTTGACTGAATCACCACCTACAGAAGAGTCTGAGGACTCTTATGGCCAGTGCCACTGCTGCCTTGAATGAGTCTTCTAAATTGCTTCAAGAGGAAGTGGAAGAAAGTTAATGCAGGAAAAAGATGCAACCATTCAAATGCTTCAGGAAGAGCACCAGAAATTGTCTGACTCCATCGCTGCCGCCTCAGAACTGGAGTGAAAACAACATGAGCAAACCAATTCAGAAATGAAGCAGCTGAAGGAGAAACAAGATGTTTTGCAAAACTTACTTCAGGAAAAAGAGCTCCTCATTAAAGCCAAGAGTGATGAGTTACTTTCTCTTGCAGAAAATTTGATTAGCCAAGTGGATGAAAATGAAATTTTAAGGCAGGCAGTTATAAACCTGAAGGAGAGGGCATTACATTTTGAAATAGAGTCATGTAAACTAAAACAGGAAAATGAAAAAATAATAGAAACATCTCAGGAAAAGGCAGGAGAAATGCAAGCACTGCAAGAAACAAATGCAAAACTTTCGCAGCTCCTGAAAGAGCAAGAATTGAAGTACTGTCCAGTGAAGAAGGTTTTGGAGCAACTAACGAACGAAGAAGAACAGGGCAAGACTGGGAAACGAAATCAGCTTTTAAATACAATCGCTTTGGGTCTCCCCGGTGGCGCAGCGGTTGAGCGCTGGGTTGCTAAGCTGCCCGCAGCCTCTGCAGCGCCGGTTTGATCCCCGGCTGCTCCCCGGCCACCGGAGGAGGGTCCCACATGGTGCGCAGACCTCTCCTGCCGCCCGCTGCTCCCCTCAGCAGTGCACTTAGGTCCTTCTGCCTGCTCTGCTCCCCGCTCTGGCTCTGGTGAATTCTCATACCCTCCCGCGCTTCTGACTGTGCCCAGTGCTTGTATAAATAAATAAATAAATAAATAAATAAATAAATAAATCTTCGAAAATAAATAAATAAATAAATAAATGCAATCACTTTGATACAAGAAAAGACGGTTTTATTTCAGCAGGAAAGAAATGAACTGACAGTAGCTCTGAAAAACACAAATGGACATTAATGCTCTACAGAATGAGATTCGGTACTTGTGCAACAAAGAATCACACTTAAAGCAGGAGCTAGAGAATACTCAGAAGCAAATTGTGGAATTGCAAAACTCTCTTCTGTAAAGCTCGGGATGCAGATGACAAGAGTTTAACTTCCGA